AGGCAATTCAGTAAGAAATGGAGCATGGGGTGCCTTTGCGGATTGGGTGAGGCCTTGGGAGGCCCACTGCAGGTTGCAAGCGAGTGTCTGGCAGCTCAAGGGCTAAAAGTCCTGCTTGGGTTTTGGCAGGGAGGATTTTCAGCTCCTGAGTGAAGCCGCCCAGGGCCCCCCTCCCTCCAAGGCACCCAATGCTCCTTACCTGGGACTCCAACTACTTAATCACCCACAAAATCGTTTAATGACTAAAACTGGGAGAGGTTGAATTGTAGTCGTAGCAGTCACATGGGCGTCTTCCTTAACAGCTTTGCCCTGGTTCCAATTGAGTTGAGGACTACCTGCATTTGATTATAAAACCAGTCTTGATTCCATTAATGTTTGTGTATTGCATTAACTTTTGCAGTGAATTTATTTTTGTATAAGCTGCTTGACTCTCTTTATTATTGCTGGCACACAAGTAGTATGAAAATAGACAAGAATTTCTTTTGTGCTAGGATGGGTTGGTTATTTCTTTTTGCTTCTAACTGCAAATCAACCAGACAGTGACAAATACTTAGGAGATTCCTGCAATGACAACCCATTTTGGGAAGTAAGCATATATAAATCTACTTTCTTAGTCACTATTAGTAGCACTGTTAACCTAAATTACTTTCATCTTACTTTTGCCTTTTCTCCTCTTTCTCTCTTTAGCTTTGTAGTTGTACTTGAATGTTTGCACTAGGTAAGCAGGTCAAAGTAGTTTACTGTATTTCATTGTTTAAAAATTGCACTAATAAGTAGATTAAGTCCCTGTAATGAAGGATTGTCCTGGCTGGTGACTTAGTGTTGTCTGTGTGATAGGCAAACATTAGAACCTTCTAAATCTACTTAGCATTTGAGTGATAGGAAAGTTCAAAGCAACAGAGAATATAGTTCAGAAAGTCGAGACAAACACCAGCTATGAGATATTCTGTTTGGCACTATACTGAGTAGGGGTGTATCATTGCTGCTAACTAGCCTTTAATTATGGAGAAAAGGATGGAAATAACTTTTTTCATAAAATAAACAGTTGGGAGCAGTTAAATCAAAAGTATTTGGCCTAAGTCTAAGAATGGTTAACTTATAATTCACAAAGTATTTTGGCATGTAGGGCCCGTGGATATGTTTCAAGTTGATATATGCTTTCTACAAAGTCTCTTTATTTATAGATGCTTAAGAGTTGTTTTTCTACCATATATTTGAGACTTGTGTTATCTTTTAATTGTTACACTCACTGATCATTACATGTCTTAGCTTTTACAAGCTTTGGACTTCACAGAATCTTTTTTTATTGCTTTCCGGTCTGGGAAATACTGAATGAAAGCTTACAAACAATTACACTTCCATGTTTTGTATGCTTGGAGTTTAAAGTATGTAATAAGAGTTATTTTCACTCTGTGATTTTTGAAGGCACTTGGGTATACTTAATCTCTTATTGCAAATAGGCCTGCTCTGTTTCTGTTGTTTTGATGTTATGTTTTGGTTTATAAAGATCATTCCTCTGTTAATATAGAGACTATGGCTCATATACTAATACAGTGTATCAGTTACTTTTTCAATAGTAAATCTGTTTGAATTTTAAGTATTTTTCCTCTTTATTTAAGAAATAGCATATCCCCAAAGTGTAAGATTGCAATATGCACACCACATTCCTGTTTTTGCTATTATATCAGTGTGTGTATGTGTGTGTGTGTGTGTGTGTGTGTGTGTGTGAGTGAGTGAGTGAGTGAGTGAGAGGGGGAGGGGAGAAAGTTTATCTCTCTGTATGGATGATTTTATTGGACAGAACATACTTCTTTAGTAGTGTTGGAAGTTAAAATCCACCCCTCTCCTAGAGAAGTGAGATATTTTGGGATACACTAAAAATGCAGAATATTTCCCCTAAAAGAGAAGTAGAAAGTCAGAGAGGCAGAAACTCAGCCCTCCCACCTTTGTCAATGGGCCATTTAAGGCCTGGACCAGTCTATTCTACATAACAAAGATCTACCTCCTTCAGGCAGAACCATTCAATTGCCCTTCGTTGCACCACCCACCAAGTTTCAACCCAACTTAGCACACAGACAACCTGCAAAGGTAGCTTTGACTTTTGACAGAAACTAAATCAGGATATTCTCCCTGTGTCCCAGGAAGTTCAAAGCCCAGAGAGGCATAAAACCCAGGGACTCTCAGCATCTCTTCCCTTTTCGCCCAGGATCTCCAAGCCATGTGGTCCTGTTCATCAATAAACCTTCTTTCCAAGCCACTCCCATGAATCCAGTGTCTTTTTCCCCACTTGGAACTGAACCCAGAAGGATATTTCTTCCAACAATAGTAACTGCTTTATTATTGTCTTATCTCTACGTTTGGTTTATCTTTATCCTATATTCTTTAAAAGCATTCAGTATGTTTTATGCAACTATTTCCTTCAGTTAACAGATAACAGATAATCAGAGATGGAAGGGACCTTGTAGGTCATCTAGTCCAACTCCCTGCCCAATCAGGAGACCCTACACCATTTCTGACAGATGGGAGTCCAATCTCTTCTTGAAAGTCTCAAGTGATGGCGCTCCCACAACTTCCGAAGGCAACTGCTGTTCCATTGGTTGATTGTTCTCGCTGTCAGAAAGTTTCTCCTTATTTCTAGGTTAAATCTCTCCTTGTTCAGTTTCCATCCATTATTCCTTGTCTGGTCTTTGGGTGCTTTAGAAAATAGCTTGACCCCTTCCTCTCTGTGGCAGCCCCTCAAATATTGGAAGACTGCTTTCATGTCTCCCCTGGTTGTTGCTGAGTACCCTTAAACTACCGCTTAACAAGGGAAGCCTCTTGTGTACGTCTTCAGTTTGGCCTCAAAGCTTATATAGTAACTTGCTTCCTCGTGCTTGATACCTTTTAACATCCCTGAACAAACTCAGAGTAAGTTGAGGATCCTTATTGGCTTCTATTAACTCTTTCAAGTTTTGTGGTCAAAGCAAAGACTACACAGTACTACTAACTTTCTCATCGAGGTTCTTCTTGGTTGTCCTTAAGTTACTCTGATGTTGAAAGCTAGAACGAGCTTTTCCTTACCCATACAGCCTTTCTTTCTCATTTTTTTTCTTCATTGATTTGCCCTAATGTCTCCATTAAGGGTCTGTAGCTCTAGTTGAAGGAAACTGTATTCCGTGGGAATGTTATAAATGTTGCCCATGGATTGCGTCCTTTGTTATTAGATTGATTCTCTTTAAGGCAATCTAAGGAATAGCCTCATCTTTGGGCAGAAGCATCTGGGGATAATAAAAGGTGATTAATGCTACTGGCATTTATCGCATAGGACTGTGCATGCTTTGAAATGATATGGAACAAAAGCTTTGAATTTGAGTAAATACAGCATTTCACTGCCTGCTCACGAAAGAACCGGGGTGGGTTTTTTTGCACTTTTCTGTGTGAACATGAAAAAAGGATGTGATTGCTTTAGTCAGATGAGTCACTAAAGTTGAGCTTTTTACAATTTGGGGAAAGACAGCAATGAAATAGAATTTATAAAATCAAACCAGGTAGCATCCCAAGAAAAGATTGTTAATATAGAAAGCAGAATATCTAGGGGCGTGATGGTGAACCTATGGCATGCGTGCCACAGGTGGCACGCAGAGCCATTTGTGCGGGCATGCGAGCCCCAGCCAAACTTACTTGCACTGCGCATGTGTGCGCCTCCCAGTTGATTTTCGGCCTGTTTGGGGCCATTTTCACACACACCCCGAGGCTCGAGGGAAGCCTCTGCAGCCTTGGGAGGCCGAAAAAACAGGCCTTCTGGAAATACTGGAAGTGCTGAAATGGGCCCGCTTTCAGCCTCCCAGGCCTGCAGAGGCTTCCCTTGAGCCCCTGGGAGGGTGAAAATGGCCTCCCAGGGCTCCAGAAGCCCTCCGTAGGCTGAAAATGGGCACTTACGGTATTTCTGGAATGCCTGTTTTTCGGCCTCCCGTGGCTGCAGAGGCTTCCCTCAAGCCTTGGGGAGGGCCCAAAAATGGCCTCAAATGGGCTGAAAATCAGCTGGGAGGCACGCGCATGTGCAGTGCAGGTAAGGGGGGTATTGTGCGTGGATGTGCGGGGGGCGCATTGCATTGTGGGTGCCAGTGCATGCGCGCTTTCGGCACACCACAACAAAAAGGTCCGCCATCACTGATCTAAGGGAAAGTAGAAGTATTGCAATAGAAGGAAGAAAGTGTGTTGGATATGTTCAGCTGCTTTACTTAAAAATAATAATAAAGACGGCATGCAAATAATTTTATCAAAGGCATGAAATCATTCTAACAACATTGATCCTGCTTTTGGGGTCAGAGGAGTAAACTCAGAAAATTAAGGCAGGAAAAATTAAGAGAAACTTCTACATTATAGATCCTTGGTTGGAACTTTGAGGATTACATTATTGTGCAAATCAGTTTAACCCTGGATTAATTTTCACATTTTTAGCTGTCCTTTTAAAATCATAAGTGTTAATACAGGTAGTCCTCAATGAACAACTGTCTTGTTTAGCAACCATTCAAATTACGATGGTGCTGAAAAAAAATAACTTTATGATGACTCCTCAAACTTATGACCATCGCAGTGGCCCTGCAGTCATACGGTCGCTATTTGAACACAGTTGGGTCACATTTACAAACATTGTGAGATTCCCACTGTCACGTGATTGCTAATTGTGAGCTTTACAGCTGGCTTCCAATAATCAAAGTCAATACAAAAGCTGGCAGTAAAATCAGGTTACGATCACAGGAGGTCTCACTTAATGACCATGGGCAAGTTGCTTAACAGCCACAGCAGAACTGACATAAGTCTGGCAAGGTCATGTTTTATTTAACAACCGCATCACTTAACAACTTCCATTGTGGTCATTGAGGACTATTTCTAGTACAAAACTCTGCAAAAATGTATATGTTGCTTAAGGTTAAAAAGGGTAAACCGAGAGCTACATTTGCAGTCATACAAATCCTGACATGTGGTCATTTCTCCTTTTTTTCCCCCCTTGATCCTAGTTTGGAGCAGAATTTCGAAGATTTTCCCTGGATCGTTTCAAGCCAGGAAAATTCGAAGATTTCTACAAACTTCTCCTTCACATCCACCATATTTCTAACATGGCGGTAATGGTAGGCTATGCTGACATCCATGGGGATCTTCTTCCCATTAATAATGATGACAACTTCTACAAGGCTGTTTCGAGTGCAAACCCATTGCTCAGGATTTTTATACAGAAACAAGGTGAGTTAAAATGTTGACAACTTAGTTGACTTGATTTTTCCCCCCTTCAGTTGAAAATAGAATCAGAGGCGGCTGCTGAGGTGGATGGTTGGGAAGATTTCAAGATGGGAGCTGTAACCATGGTCATCATCTATACATTTTTACCTTCTCTGTCGCCCCCAATGTGGTACCCCTGAATGGAATGCTATGCTTGATGACTTTCCAACTAAGAAGCTTTAAATGAGGCAAATAAATTGTAGTTAGGCAAGTGACAAAAATACCTCAGACAAAAGACAGTAGCACATTAACATTTCTTTATAGCATGCCCTCAGAATAATTAGCATATTTTCCTCATTAATATGGCAAGTGCCATCCTTTTGCTGGTAACTGGCAAGAACTGAATATCCTTCAGAAATTGTTCCTTTGTATTTTTAGAAAGGTGCTTAAAACTGAAACAACCACTAAAGTTTACAGAATGCCGCTTGCTAAATAACATTGGAAATTACCATGCTTCACATCTTATGAAAAACAAGGATAGATTTTGCTGGTATATGATGCCAGAAAAATTATCTAGACTGTGTAAAAATATACTTCAAGTTAATGTTGGAAATTGGAGGGGTCATTTTTATTGTGTATGGTGGAAAAAGCTAAAAAAAAAATTATTGTTGGTCTCAAATGTGATTCAAATAATTTAAAAGATTGGCATTCAGATGAAACCAGAACCCGGGATGGAGCCACGAGTCACTGTTTTTATGTATAAAAACTACAGTGAGATTACTGTACGCAGAAAGATAGAAAGTTTTGGCAATCACACAATGGAGGAATGGTGGGTAAAGATGACAGAACTTGCCAAAATTGCTAAATTGACTTGTTTGATTAGAGAAAAGACAAATTTGCATATTTATGGATGACTGGAAACCCCTTACATTTTGCATAAAAAATGAACTTATGATTTATGGTTTTGATTATTAAACAGGCTAGATTATAGAAAGGAGAGAGTCATTAGTCATTTTAGAGAGTGGTTAAATTATAATTGTAATTATAACAGCTGTGAAGAAAATCAGAAGCAACTTCTTTATATCTTTTTGGGGGTTTTGCATTTTTAGCTTTTTCTTTTCTCACTTTTTTTCTTTTTTCTTCTATTTTAGCTTGTAATAATTCTTACTACTGTTAAATTTTTCAGTAACCATTTCATATACAAAAAAAGAAATAGGGATTGAATTCTGTCTTCTGAGATTGCTTTGTTCTTCCATGGTAATAAAATAGAGGTTTTATTTATTTGTTTTGTTTTATAATACATGCTACAATTCTGAGAACTTTTGTTCACATACTTTTTACATTAGGGATCCATGGTGTTCCTGATTTGCTTGTCTGATAGATTTGTTTTTATATTCCTGGGTGAAACATCTCAATTACACAAAACTGAATCACAAACCCCTTCTCAAACTGCCATATTCCACAGACATTTATCGAACACTAATTTTCTTCCCCTTTTCTTCTGGTTGGTTTCACCCTCAAGGTCACAAATTTACATGAAACAAAGCAGGTATTGATAGTGGGAGGAGAAGGCTTATAAAAAAGAGGGGGGGGATTAAATAAGAACACCAAGTATTGTGGTGATGCTACTGGAATGAGACAGGCAAATTTTTGAGATGAGACAGGCAAATTTTTGAGTTTAAGTTGCATTGTTGGGAACCAATCAGTGGAGTATAAAGTTTAATGTGCTGGACTAGAACAGGATTCTCTAAGCCTGGGAACTTTAAGACTTGTGTAATTCCCGGAATTCCCCAGCCACCCATGGCTGCCTGAGGAATTCTGGGAGTTGAAGTCACCAAGTTTTAAAGTTGCCAAGTTTGAAGATTTCTAGACTGGGAGATCCAGGTTCTAATCCCTCCATTGAAAAAGAAGCTGGCTGGGTGACTCAAGGTTGTTTACTCTTAGCTCCAAAAGATCAAACTCTGCAACAAGCCTGCAGAAGTGCAAGTCCTCCATGGCATCATGCACTGATCAATGGTTTTGCCATGTGTCCTAGGTGAACATAGTGCTGACAATCACACTCTGCAACAGAATGGCACAAAACCTACAGTTAGAAATAAACTGTACCCTCCCCAATTAATCTAAAAATGTATTTACTAGAGGTCCATTTTAGGGCTTCCCCCCAGAATTAATTTATTTGATTCATAGAGATAAAATTTTAATTAATTAATTTTTGCTAAACCACTACATTGTTTATTTCAGCTTGTCTATGATGCTGGAAACTGTGGGTCCTAATGGTTTTGCATGATGTTGTTAAAATATTTTTTTAAAAAAATGTGACAAGAGTAAGAAGGCTTGGGTAGGTGATAGGTTGGCTAGCACAATGTGAGCACCCTTACCTTTGATCACCATAGTTTGAAGGAAGTAGAACATATACAGGTAGTCCTTAACTTATAACACTTCATGTAATGACCATTCAAAGTTACAATGGCACTGAAAAAAGTGACTGACGACCATTTTTCACACTTATGACCAGCAGTGCGGATTCAACCAGTGTAACAACAGGTTTGGTGAACGTGCCAAATGCTTGCTTCGTGTGCACGCAGAGCATTTGCTACTGACCTTCTCCAGCAATCTCTGTACGTTAAACAGCTGATGCGTGGCAATCTGCTGCGCCGTGCGAATCAGCTGAGCTTGAAAACCAGGATATAAAGCACAGACTAGAGCCGGGGCAGGCGGGTGGGCCCAACAGCTGATCGTCGGAGAGACCTGATTTGCTCACAGCTGATCCTCGGAGCTACCGGTTCACCTGAACCGGGCTGAACCAGTAGAATCCCACCCCTGCGTTATGACCATGGTAGCATGGGTCATGTGATTGACATTCGGATGCTTGATAACTGGTTCACATTTACGACAGTTGCAGTGTCTTGGAGGTCATGTGATCATCTTTGGTAACATTCTGACCAGCAAAGTCAATGGGGAAGCCAGAATTGCATAACAACCGGGTTACTAATTTAACAACCGCAACGATTCACTTAACAAATATGGCAAGGACAGTTGTAAAACGGGGCAAAGCTTATTTAACAAATGTCTCACTTAGCAGCATAAATTCTGGACTCAACTGTGGTCATGAGTCGAGGACTACCTGTATAAAGCTATAAGCCTAAAATGTGAAGATCTGGAAAATACAACCGTATCTCTCTTTCATATTCCCTTACCAGCCATTCTAACAGTACAGCTGTCACATTCAGCTTTACTTACTTCCAGTGTAAAACCTATGCTGAATGTTAGAGTAGTAGTTATTTGCAAAGACTTCCCAAGGCTTAACTTTGGACAAAAATGTGTTCCCAAGAAAATAAAAAGGCTTTGCTTTCCTCTTGATACCAAATCAAAAACATCCCTTTTTTCTCCAAGAATCCGAACATTTATTTTTCTTTTAAGTGATTTGTTGGCTTGAATGTTTTTTTTTATCTTGGAATCGTACTATAAGATAAATAACACAAGAAGCCGTTGCCCTATCCTGCCGATCTTTGTTGGAAAAATAGTTGTTACTATACTTAAAGCTGGCTGCACTTAAATGATTAGTTACTTTTTTGTGAATTGTAAGATCAAAGGCTTTAAAGACCTCCAAAGCTCTCAATGGGTGTTTCTATGCCAATGCACTTTGCCTTAGTCTGTCTGTTGTTGCTTGATACACCAGCAAAGCAGATTGTAGCCGGATTACTATATTGGACCAATATTCTTCTCTTATTTCAGAGTCAAGGGAATTCACAGATGTCCTGCTTTAGGGCCTCTCTTTCCTTCCCTCCCGCCCCACCTGCTGTGCAAGATGAGGCCATTGATGCTCTTAATTGCAATTGAAATGGATACCTTTCTACAGGTGGTGAAGCTGATAGAGGCAACACGCAACCCAAGTTTAGATCCTGGCTGAGTTTCATTGGACAACATCGGGGCCCATTCTTTACATTTAGCATTTATCCTCTGCATAAAAGGGACAATGTCTTGTCTCCTTATGATGATCAGGAAGGAAATGCTATCTTGCATGAGCCTTGGGGTTTGGAGGAGGAGGAGGAGGAGGAGGATCTAAATACAACAGGACATATAATAAGTGAAGTGGCACTGGCTGGATCTCTAAAGAAAGGATTAGGTGTCTTTCACACACCTTTTTTTCCACCAGGAACAATTCAACGGACTGGAATGCTAAGTCTTCCTCTCTACTTAAATTAGTAGGCAGATTTTTCTTCTTATTGTCCAGAGTGGAAAAGATCCAGATAGCCTAAATTCTGATCTAGATGCTCATTCCACTGATATTTTTTTTTAAAGTCATGTGCTTTGCAGATTGAGGAAATGATTATGTATCATAAGAAGCAGGTACTTAAAACACTCAAAGCAGTTCTTCGTGTTAATTGTTTGAAGCATTTTGCTTATATCTGTCACTTAGGAATACAAGTTGTACTTAGTGACATTTCAGTGACATCTGGCACATCACTTGAGGCATTGAGTTTAGAGTATCTATTAAATCCTTCAGTTGCATCCTTGCTTCAATGTGCCAGTGCTATGAAATGTAGGCTATTTGGCAGACTTTTGATAAGCTATGTGAAATGAGGCATCAAGATCCTGTTTTTGGATGCATGAGCTGATAGGAAATTGGCACATGTAATGAAATTCTTTGCACTTTTTTAAATATGGTATCCCCCACATGGTTTGGTTATTAGCCCCCATGAACGCAAGTCAACTACAGAATTAAACAAGGATATTTTTTGCTTGCTTGCTTTTGGGGGGGATGCTTTAGTCCTGCATGACATGCAGCTGTTAGTAGTATAAGAAGGAGCAAGAGAGCTGGCCTTCCAAGAGATAATTACCAACCTTGGACCTTCCCATCCATCTGAAACTAACCTAACTTCTCTTTGTTCTCCAAGGTGGCAGGCCTGATGGTCAGCAAGATTATTTTGCATCACAAAATGAGATTTGCCAGAACTCCTCTGGCAGCTTTAGGACAGGCTCCCCACTTGCTTTTGGGCAACTGACTGAAGATAGATAGCAAT